ATTGTTAGTGGTGATGTGGGACCCATTTGGATGGATTTGGTGTGTTTTCGCCAGGTAGCATGTGACATGGCAAAAGTTTTATCCATGTCATCACTTTTTGAAGTTTTGCTCTCCACATCATCAAAAAAAATATAAAAAATGCCACCTAAACAGAGTTAACGGCCCAAATTAACAGAAGGACTAACGAAATGCATTTCGTATAGTTGAGGGATCAAAAAAGTGTAAAAAATTGTTAAGGGACCAAAAATGTTCATTTATTAAAGTCGAGGGACCAAATTAAGCATTTAACCTTCTTTTTAACTCGATGTATTTTTCTTTTCTTTTCCTAGTTATTAGTGTGACTTAACAACATATAAAACAATATTTAACTGATTTCAACATATTCAAACTTTGCCTTAATTTTAGGTATTTGGGGGATTTTATTTTTTAAGTTGCTTAGTAAATTCTTTCTCAAATAAATTTTGAAATATGTAAGAGGGAAATTTTATTAATTTTTTAGCATTTAATAAAGTTATAAAACAAGTTTTAGAAAAATATTTAATTCGAAAATTTTTTAGAATTTATTTATATTCAAAAATGCTAAAAAAAATTTCCTTCCATTAAAATGGAAAAATTATAAATAAAAATGCTACTTATATATAAACAGTTCAAAAAATAAACTCCACCAAACACTTATCCTTTATTTAATGAGTAATGCTATAGGGACAGATCGGTCCCCAAGCCGATTGGTCCCTATAGTTTTTTTTTTCATAAATCATAAGTCTAAACTTTTTAATTTTATTTTTTAGTCTTTTAATTTTAAAATTATGAATTATTAAACATTTAAATGTTTAAATATTAAACTTTAAACCTTAAGAATCTAAACCCAAACATCTTGAACATGAAATTTAAAAAAATCTAAACTCTAACGTAATAAATTATTGAACTTAAAAAATATAAACAAAAACATCATAAAATATAAACTTAAATAATTCAAATTCTACTACCTTAAATATTAAATACTAAAAAAATTTAAACACTAAGTCCTAACACCCTAAACACAAAATCTTAAAAA